TTAGAGTATTTATACTATTATTATTCTAATCGATCTTATAGAGATATTATTTCTGAATATTATTAATAAATAATAATAAAATCTTGATTATAATCTTTTTCCTTTAAGATTATAATACTAGTAAATATCTAATTATTTAAGAAACTAATTATAGAAATATTATATACTAAAGTATATAAATATTAAAATAGCTATAATATTATTTATACCTTTAGTTTATAATTTCAAAAGCTATTATACTAGTAATGAAATAAATAATCTTTTAATATTAGTAATTATTTAAAAATCAGATAAACTCGTTTTTTATAATTCTTTTATATTTTATTAGAAAGATTTATTACTCTAATTCTTATAACTTATTCCTAACATTTTGATTACTTTAATCTTTATTAATCAATTTTTTAATCCTGATTTTTAATAATATTATCATCAATTAATTGTCGTCAATCCCGGTCGGTATATTTCAATATTCAATCTCAATTTGGACAATAGAAACCACGGTTGAGTAAAACCTATCTGCTCCCTTTTATTATTTTCATTTGGTTTAAAATCCTTGGGGGTATATCTTATTACTTGATTGCAATTTTTTCATATATCCAACGCTCATTTGGTCTCCCCTTCTTTCAGGGCATCTTCCCATTTTCTCCCTGTCAATTTCTCAAATGCTTCCCGATACTTCTCAGCCGTTTGTAACATAATTTCCTCCGGCATTGCAACTCCCTGTTGGCCCTTGAGTCCCTCCTCCGTCAACCAATTCCTCAAGAACTGTTTATCATAACTTTCTTGTTCTTTTCCGACCTCGTATTGGGACGCAGGCCAGAATCTACTCGAATCTGGTGTCAAAACCTCATCTACGAGAACCACCTCGTCGGTTTCCTCGTCTAATCCAAACTCGAATTTGGTATCTGCAATAATAATACCACGCTCTGCAGCATAAGCTCGAGCAGTGGTGTATAGCTTGATGGCCAAATCCTCAATGCGCTGGGCGTATTTCTCACCTACAATCTCGGCTGCCTTAGAGGGATGAATATTCTCGTCATTTTTGCCAAAATCGGCTTTAGTGGAAGGTGTATAGATTGCCCCTTGGGGGAAGATTTGAGAGTTTTGGAGGCCTGCAGGCATCTCAATGCCGTGGACAGTAGACAACTTTTGATATTCTTTCCAGGCTGAACCAGTGATGTAACCTCGTACGATGGCTTCGATAGGGAAGATCTTGAGTTTGCGAACTTGCATGGAGCGATTTCGGAGAAGCGAGTGCTGGGATGAGGAGATGGCGGAGGGAAGGGAGAGAGTAAGGAAGTGGGTTTTGAGTTCGGGTATTAAAGTAGTGAGGACCTCAAACCAATGTGCGGAAAGAAGTGTGAGGAGAGTGCCTTTGGAGGGAATGCCCTGTACACATTGTGAGCTATGATCAGAAAGTAGAAGATAGGAGATTTACGTTTTCCATAATCACATCATAAGCTGAAATGCGATCTGATGCGACGAACAGAAGGGTCTTCTCGTCAATCTCATAGAGATTTCGAACTTTCCCTTCTGCGATTTTTGGGAGACCATTGAGGGTCAAGGTGGTAATGGCTAATTCTGTCATTGTTGATATAACTTTGTATGATATAGTATTTTTATGCAGGTATCAAGGTAATTCAAGTCGAAGTCTTCTACAATATATATGTGAAAAATAATTTGAGTATCACAAGATGACCAAAGAAACTGTAGTGGGGTGAATGAATCGTGGGGTACTTGCTTGTTAGAGGGCGAAACTGACATTGCTGCCTGAGGCACACAACAAGAGCTGTATTATTATTGATTTAATAATCTAAGAAGAAGCTTAGACTTTTTCGGAGCTATAAATAATAGGCTATATAATATTTTGTTAGGAATAGTATACTATAATAACAAATATTTTACTTTATATTATATTTTAAATGAAAAGGATATAGAACTATAATCTATTAGAATCTTATTATTTAATAAAGTCTTTTTGAAAAAGAAAATATAAAGATTATAATAACTATTATTAACTTAATTTTCTGTATAATATCTTATAATTTGAATAAATTAAAGATTTAATATATAAGATTTAATTTAAATCAAATAAGAATTGAAATAATTACATTTAAATCAATCTAGAAAATATTGATTTTCTAATATTTATCTTTAAATTAATATAATAAATATTCTAAAAAACATATAATAATTATATTAATCTTTTCTGTAGAAATAATAAATATTCTATTTATTTTATTAATATTA